GCCCGAGGGGGCAGCCGGACACGGGAGGACAGTGGAGAAGTGAGAGAGGACAGGACCCCCAGAGGGGTCAGCCAGGGAGACTGCAACCGGCCGGCCAAGCGGCGTGAGTGTGGTGCGGTCTCGAAAGAAGGAGCGAGAAGCCCCTGAGTCAAGTGTGAAGGTGAGGGAGGCCGAAGCCGACGCAGTACCTGAGAGCGCAGCCTCACCAGTACCTGAGAGTGCAGACGCACTGGCACCTAGAGCAGCAGCCGCAGAAGTACCTGGCGCAGCAGTACCAATGCCCGGGTCGGGCGGGAAACACTGGTAACAGTCACCCTCCTCACTAATAGTCACAGCATACATGGCAGCAAGGATAGCATCAAAGTCAAGATCAAAGACAGCTACGCCAGCCCTAGACAGCTCTCCCCAACGGGGAATCTCACTGGCCTCGGGGAACTGCTGACGCCAAGCGTCCGTCAGGCGGGCAAAGCAGCGCTGAGTGGGGTGCGCACCCCCACACTGCTCACCCGCTCGGTCACCGGAACGAAGGACGTAGGTGCATGGACCAAAACCCCCACCCCGCTGACGCTGCGTGTACCACTCACGGAGCTGCTGGGGCGGGGGGATGTCCCGCGAACGCTGCTGCTGCTGCTGCTGCTGCTGACGCTGGCCACCACCAGGGCCGCTACGCTGCGGGGCACCACCCCGACCAGCTCCACCCCCTCCGCCACCGCTGCCTCCACCTCCACCACCACCGCTGCCTCCGCTCCCACCGCTGCCGCCACCGACGCCTCCTCCTCCGCTGCTGCCACCTCCACCACCGCCCCCGCCACCACTCCCACCGCCACCCCCACTCCCTCCTCCGCCTCCACCGCCTCCTCCACCGCCCCCGCCAGCTCCACCCGCGCCCTTGCCCCCCTTGCCCCTGCCAGGGCGGCGTCTCCCGCTAGGGGCAGACGCCGCGCAGACCGACTCAAGACCAAGCAGGTCGGCAGCAGCAGCAGAGGCAACAGAGGGCAGCAGGGGGGAAGGAGAACACCCCTCAAAGATGGGGGTGCGAGGGTCACCACGAGAGGCTCCTACAGCGACGATGCTCTTCTCCGCCGCCAGGAGGGACTTCTCGAGGAGGTCGACAGTGAGAGTGGTGGGACAGACCGAGAGGTAGTGGTCCCTGACTACGCGAAGGGAGTCAGGGAGGCGTGTGACGATGTAATAGAGAGTGATGTACATGGGGGGGGGGTTCTTGGCGCAGAACTCAGCAGGAAGGGCGGCGCGGTAGCGAGTGTCACTAGTGCGGAGGTGCGTAATGAGGTCAGCGACAGTGGGAAAGGCAGCAAGGTCAGGAAAGAGGTACGGTAGCATAAGGCGGCTCAGGGCAGCAGTGGCAGGGGAAGAGTAGCGCGCAACTACAGCGTCGTACAAGGTCTGAGCACTCTTGTACTGACTAAAGTGCGCGCGCTCAGTGGTAGGCAGGTGGCGACGCACAGCAAGACGTGCAGCAGCATCGCGGGTGGCCCACTGAGAGCGAACAGTGGGGTCAGCATCAGTAGCAGGGGCAGGAGAGGCGCCAGAGGTGAGGTCAAAGAGGGAAAGACCGTCCGCCCTATCGCACTGTAAGAACAGCTGCAGGTCGTCGACCCAGACCTCAAAGTCAATGGCTCGACCCTCAGCGTCAAAAGCGAGGACGCTAGGGGTAGCCATGACGACGACAGACGAGCAGTGCAAGCAGTAGGGGAAGGGCACGCAGTGACAGTGGGGCTGTGCTCACCGGACAGGGCAGGTCGGGCGGCCCGGCAGTAGGGCGGCTCGGCTGCTCAGCGGCTCGGCGGCAGTGCGGCTCGGCGCCCGGGCGGCTCGGCGGCAGGGCGGCTCGGCTCCCGGGCGGCTCGGCGGCAGGGCGGCTCGGCTCCCGGGCGACTCGGCGGCAGGGCGGCTCGGCTCCCGGGCGGCTCGGCGGCAGGGCGGCTCGGCTTCCGGCGGTTCAGCTGCTAGGCGGCTCCCGCAGGTAGGGCGGCGGTTGGGCCGCAGGTAGGGCGGCGGTCGGGCCGTAGGTAGGGCGGCGGGCAGGCCGCAGGTAGGGCGGCGGGCGAGCCGTAGGTAGGGCGGCGAGTAGGCCGCAGGTAGGGCGGCGTGGGGCCGGGACGGGCGGCGCGCGGGCGTCGAGGGGCCGGGACGGGCGGCGCGCGGGCGTCGAGGGGCCGGGACGGGCGGCGCGCGGGCGTCTAGGGGTCGGTCCGGGTGGCGCGCGGGCGTCTAGGGGCCGGGACGGGCGGCGCGTGGGCGTCGAGGGGCCGGGACGGGCGGCGCGCGGGCGTCTAGGGGCCGGGACGGGCGGCGCGCGGGCGTCTAGGGGCCGGGACGGGCGGCTCACGGGCGGCGAGGGGCCGGGACGGGCGGCGCGCGGGCGTCGAGGGGCCGGGACGGGCGGCGCGCGGGCGTCGAGGGGCCGGGACTGGCGGCGCGCGGGCGTCTAGGGGCCGGGACGGGCGGCGCGCGGGCGTCTAGGGGCCGGGACGGGCGGCGCGCGGGCGTCTAGGGGCCGGGCCGGGCGGCGCACTGGCGTCTAGGGGCCGGGACGGGCGGTACGCGGGCGTCTAAGGGGCCGGGACGGGCGGCTAAAGGGGCCACTAGGGGCCAAGAGAGAGGGGAGCGCGACTCGGGTAGGGGCAGAGTGCGCTCCGGGCAGGAAAAAAAAAAAAACGGTGGGCCCTAAGAACAGTTCCCACGAGGGAACCTGCTCGATACCATGTGAAAAGTAGAACGAGAATGAGTGAACTATGAATGAAGTGAGTACATATGGGAAACCCTAATTGTGTTGTACCCCCTATGGGATACCCCACTATAGCCTACACAACAGCATAAGCTAAATATATGTTCTGACAAGACTCAGGCGACACAGGACGAGACTCGGGCTCACGACGCTCCGTAAGACCGCCTGTCGGACCAGTGTAGGGAGAAGGACCAGGGAGTGGCGAGGCAGGCTGTAACTGTGACTGCGACTGGATAGGCGGAGGACACTCTAAGGAGGGAGCAGGACAAGGAGGAGGCGGCTGACCAAGAACCTGCTGAAGGAGCAGAACGAAGTACGGTCGCGGCCGTGGAGTGCCCCCAGAACCAGCAGAGACAGCACCAGAACCTCCAGCAGCAGCTCCAACTCCCTCAGCAACACCAGCAGCACCTCCAGTAGGACCAGCACCAGCAGCACCTCTAGCAGCTCCAGTACCTCCAGCAGTACCAGCACTAGCCGCACCACCAGCGCCAGTCCCAGTAGCACCACCAGCAGCTCCAGCAGCTCCAGTACCTCCAGCAGCACCAGCACCACCTCCAGCAGGACCAGCACCAGCAGCACCTCCAGCAGCACTAGTACCTCCAGCAGCAGCAGGGCCTCCAGCGAGCGGCACCCTAACACTAGAAGCTCCAAGTCTCAGCACCGCCAGTCTCAGCACCCCCAGGCTCAGCACCCCCAGTCTCAGCACCCCCAGGCTCAACACACCCAGACGGAACACCCCCAGGCTCAGCACCCCTTGTCTCAGCACCCCCAGGCTCAGTACCCCTCGCAGGACCAGAGTCGACAGCTACCTCGATAGGGTCGACCGGGTCCACCTGGGAAACACCCGAGGGAGAAGCACCCTGGGGAGGGAGGGGGTCTACCGACGGGACACCCGGGGTGAGGAAGAGCGGCGGGGGGGGGAGCGGGGCAGCGGGGTAACAGTCACCCTCAACACTAATAGTCAATGCATACATAGCACCAAGGATAGCATCAAAATCAAGAGCAAAGATATCAATGTTCTTTTTAAGCAGATCAGCCCAGCGGGGCAGCTCAGAGGCGTCAGGGAACTGCTCTGTGGCCATGGCTGACAACATCAGACTATTTTCGTCTGTTTGTTTGAAATTTCAGGATATTTTCCATACGTACCAGATTTTTTCAGAGATGGCTGATTTAGAAAAGATTGCCCTAACATCCTTTTGCAACATGTGTGACCCACATGTATGGTGTACATTGATATATGACCTTATTGAACTTTAGCTGATCTCTATCCCTGTGGTAAATCACACGTGCCCAAACGGCATTGGAGCTTTTCTACTTTGTCATTTCTGGCCGTTAGTGCTGGGCGAGTGACTCGTCTACTTCGGCTGGGAGGTACATTCGAGTTCCAGCTCAGGTGGCACTGATACCACGCAAAGCAACCTCATACGTGGTTCATGAATTGTCTGAGCTGGTCGCGTGGCGTTGTACTGGAAGAAATTAGTCAAGTGGGTTTTGTCCCTTGAGAAGCATCTCTTCCGAAGCGCCCCAAAAGCAAAGCATGACCACACCTCATCCGTACGAGTTCCCCGAATTCATTTGGATCCATAAAACTTGCTCTCGTAAATTCTCTCCAGAAACTTCGAATTCACTCCTCGACTCCACATCACATATTTCCTTCAAGCTTGCCTTCTCTTTCTCACGCTAATCTCCCACCTCCCAATTCCGCCATCTCTCTTCCTCCTCGTTCCGCCATCCCACCTCCTGGCCGATCCTCATTTCCATATCTTACCAGTCCGTCATTCCACTTCCTCACCTCATCCACCCCGTTTCCTCCCCGTTGCGTCCTCTCACCACGCCACCTTCGCACGATTCTGTGTCACCACTTGGTCCGCGTTTCCACCTCCTCCCCAGTCCGCCACTCCGCCTCCTCCCCTAAACCGCCGTCCCACCTTGCCTTTCCGCCATCCCGTTTCCTCCGCGATCTTCTCATCTTGACGCCTCCCCGTTCCGCCATCCCACTTAGGCGCCTTGGCGCCTCACATCCCGTCGCCTTGGCGCCTCACATCCCGTCGCCTTGGCGCCTCACATCCCGTCGCCTTGGCGCCTCACATCCCGTCGCCTTGGCGCCTCACATCCCGTCGCACTGGCGCTGTTCCTCCTCTTCGCGTGTGCTCCAACCTTTCTCCTGACCGATCCGCGTTTGTACCTCCTCACCTTTCATCCATCCATTTTCCTCCCCGTTCCGGCCTCCCACCGCGTCGCCTGTGCGCCAATGAAGTTCCTCGCCTTTCCGCCGTTCACCACACTCCTCATCGCGACATCAAAATACCGCCTCTATCATTCATCCCAAGTTCATCGAATCCCATCCGCCCATCCCCCCTATTCCTCCCACCCAGCCATCCCACCTCCTCCCCGTTCCGCCCTCCCACGGCCATTCACCTCATCTCCCCCAGCCATCCCACCTCCTCGCCCCCAGCCATCCCTCCTCCTCCCCATTCCGCCCTCCCACCACCATTCACCTCATCTCCCCCAGCCATCCCACCTCCTCCCCCCCAGCCATCCATCCTCCTCTCCATTCCGCCCTCCCACCACCATTCACCTCATCTCCCCCAGCCATCCCACCTCCTCCCCCCCAGCCATCCCTCCTCCTCCCCATTCCGCCCTCCCACCACCATTCACCTCATCTCCCCCAGCCATACCACCTCCTCCCCCCCAGCCATCCCTCCTCCTCCCCATTCCGCCCTCCCACGGCCATTCTCCTCATCTCCCCCAGCCACCCCACCTCCTCCCCCCCAGCCATCCATCCTCCTCTCCATTCCGCCCTCCCACCACCATTCACCTCATCTCCCCCAGCCATCCCACCTCCTCCCCCCCAGCCATCCCTCCTCCTCCCCATTCCGCCCTCCCACCACCATTCACCTCATCTCCCCCAGCCATACCACCTCCTCCACCCCAGCCATCCCTCCTCCTCCCCATTCCGCCCTCCCACGGCCATTCTCCTCATCTCCCCCAGCCACCCCACCTCCTCCCCCCCAGCCATCCCTCCTCCTCCCCATTCCGCCCTCCCACCACCATTCACCTCATCTCCCCCAGCCATCCCACCTCCTCCCCCCCAGCCATCCCACCTCCTCCCCATGCCGCCTTCCCACAGCCATTCATTTCATCTCCCCTAGCCATCCATCCTCCTCTCCATTCCGCCCTCCCACCACCATTCACCTCATCTCCCCCAGCCATCCCACCTCCTCCCCCCCAGCCATCCCTCCTCCTCTCCATTCCGCCCTCCCACCACCATTCACCTCATCTCCCCCAGCCATCCCACCTCCTCCCCCCCAGCCATCCCTCCTCCTCCCCATTCCGCCCTCCCACCACCATTCACCTCATCTCCCCCAGCCATACCACCTCCTCCCCCCCAGCCATCCCTCCTCCTCCCCATTCCGCCCTCCCACGGCCATTCTCCTCATCTCCCCCAGCCACCCCACCTCCTCCCCCCCAGCCATCCATCCTCCTCTCCATTCCGCCCTCCCACCACCATTCACCTCATCTCCCCCAGCCATCCCACCTCCTCCCCCCCAGCCATCCCTCCTCCTCCCCATTCCGCCCTCCCACCACCATTCACCTCATCTCCCCCAGCCATACCACCTCCTCCACCCCAGCCATCCCTCCTCCTCCCCATTCCGCCCTCCCACGGCCATTCTCCTCATCTCCCCCAGCCACCCCACCTCCTCCCCCCCAGCCATCCCTCCTCCTCCCCATTCCGCCCTCCCACCACCATTCACCTCATCTCCCCCAGCCATCCCACCTCCTCCCCCCCAGCCATCCCACCTCCTCCCCATGCCGCCTTCCCACAGCCATTCATTTCATCTCCCCTAGCCATCCATCCTCCTCTCCATTCCGCCCTCCCACCACCATTCACCTCATCTCCCCCAGCCATCCCACCTCCTCCCCCCCAGCCATCCCTCCTCCTCTCCATTCCGCCCTCCCACCACCATTCACCTCATCTCCCCCAGCCATCCCACCTCCTCCCCCCCAGCCATCCCTCCTCCTCCCCATTCCGCCCTCCCACGGCCATTCTCCTCATCTCCCCCAGCCACCCCACCTCCTCCCCCCCAGCCATCCCTCCTCCTCCCCATTCCGCCCTCCCACCACCATTCACCTCATCTCCCCCAGCCATACCACCTCCTCCCCCCCAGCCATCCGTCCTCCTCCCCATTCCGCCCTCCCACGGCCATTCTCCTCATCTCCCCCAGCCACCCCACCTCCCCCCCAGCGATCCCTCATCCTCCCCATTCCGCCCTCCCACCACCATTCACCTCATCTCCCCCAGCCATCCCACCTCCTCCCCCCCAGCCATCCCTCCTCCTCCCCATTCCGCCCTCCCACCACCATTCACCTCATCTCCCCCAGCCATCCCACCTCCTCCCCCCCAGCCATCCCTCCTCCTCCCCATTCCGCCCTCCCACCACCATTCACCTCATCTCCCCCAGCCATCCCACCTCCTCCCCCCCCGCCATCCGTCCTCCTCCCCATTCCGCCCTCCCACGGCCATTCTCCTCATCTCCCCCAGCCACCCCACCTCCCCCCCAGCCATCCATCCTCCTCTCCATTCCGCCCTCCCACCACCATTCACCTCATCTCCCCCAGCCATCCCACCTCCTCCCCCCCAGCCATCCCTCCTCCTCCCCATTCCGCCCTCCCACCACCATTCACCTCATCTCCCCCAGCCATACCACCTCCTCCCCCCCAGCCATCCGTCCTCCTCCCCATTCCGCCCTCCCACGGCCATTCTCCTCATCTCCCCCAGGCACCCCACCTCCTCCCCCCCAGCCATCCCTCCTCCTCCCCATTCCGCCCTCCCACCACCATTCACCTCATCTCCCCCAGCCATCCCACCTCCTCCCCCACAGCCATCCCTCCTCCTCCCCATTCCGCCCTCCCACCACCATTCACCTCATCTCCCCCAGCCATCCCACCTCCTCCCCCCCAGCCATCCGACCTCCTCCCCATGCCGCCTTCCCACAGCCATTCATTTCATCTCCCCTAGCCATCCATCCTCCTCTCCATTCCGCCCTCCCACCACCATTCACTTCATCTCCCCCAGCCATACCACCTCCTCCCCCCCAGCCATCCCTCCTCCTCCCCATTCCGCCCTCCCACCACCATTCACCTCATCTCCCCCAGCCATACCACCTCCTCCCCCCCAGCCATCCGTCCTCCTCCCCATTCCGCCCTCCCACGGCCATTCTCCTCATCTCCCCCAGCCACCCCACCTCCTCCCCCCCAGCCATCCCTCATCCTCCCCATTCCGCCCTCCCACCACCATTCACCTCATCTCCCCCAGCCATCCCACCTCCTCCCCCCCAGCCATCCCTCCTCCTCCCCATTCCGCCCTCCCACCACCATTCACCTCATCTCCCCCAGCCATCCCACCTCCTCCCCCCCAGCCATCCCTCCTCCTCCCCATTCCGCCCTCCCACCACCATTCACCTCATCTCCCCCAGCCATCCCACCTCCTCCCCCCCCGCCATCCGTCCTCCTCCCCATTCCGCCCTCCCACGGACATTCTCCTCATCTCCCCCAGCCACCCCACCTCCTCCCCCCCAGCCATCCATCCTCCTCTCCATTCCGCCCTCCCACCACCATTCACCTCATCTCCCCCAGCCATCCCACCTCCTCCCCCCCAGCCATCCCTCCTCCTCCCCATTCCGCCCTCCCACCACCATTCACCTCATCTCCCCCAGCCATACCACCTCCTCCCCCCCAGCCATCCGTCCTCCTCCCCATTCCGCCCTCCCACGGCCATTCTCCTCATCTCCCCCAGCCACCCCACCTCCTCCCCCCCAGCCATCCCTCCTCCTCCCCATTCCGCCCTCCCACCACCATTCACCTCATCTCCCCCAGCCATCCCACCTCCTCCCCCCCAGCCATCCCTCCTCCTCCCCATTCCGCCCTCCCACCACCATTCACCTCATCTCCCCCAGCCATCCCACCTCCTCCCCCCCAGCCATCCGTCCTCCTCCCCATTCCGCCCTCCCACGGCCATTCTCCTCATCTCCCCCAGCCACCCCACCTCCTCCCCCCCAGCCATCCCTCCTCCTCCCCATTCCGCCCTCCCACCACCATTCACCTCATCTCCCCCAGCCATCCCACCTCCTCCCCCCCAGCCATCCCTCCTGTTGGTTTTGATGTAGTAGTGCTTGTATATGCTCTTTGAAGGTCAATTGTACAGCTTTGGTTCTTTATTCAGCATATGCTGCGGAATATCGTGGTCAACTAGCTCATCTAGCAATGGACGGTAGGAAACAGCTTCAAATAACATGTCCCGAGCCTGACTGCATTGTTACATTTGCATCACAAGCTGAACGGACTCATCATGTTCGCGGTAATAGGCATGAGTATGCCACTACCACCACACGCAACAATCCAGAGCCTGCAGCACCAAGCCCTCGTACGTCGTCACAGGACGCAGCACCACCTGCGCCAATGCCACCTGTTGAAGAGCCCAACCTTGAACGCGCAAGCAGTGAAGCAGAACAATACACAGACATAGATTGTCGCTTTTGGAAGTTTTGTAAAATAGGAAACGGTGGTAGCAGCCTCTCGAGAGAGTCGATCAAGGAGCTATTGACCCTATTTCATGACGCAGGAGCGAATCTCACACTAATGACCGTCGCAGATGTTGACAAGCTGGAGGCATCCCTTACGGAATGGGTGGTGTTACAACCGTTTCAAAGGCTTGTCCTCACAGACCCAAGCAAGGACAAGACTGAGGTTATTCTATGGTGGCGTTCAACGTGGGCTTGCGTGGTGGACATGTACACCGATCCTGCCAATGCGGACGAATTCATTATTGCACCTAATACAGAAGCTTCGAATGAGACCGCATCGGATGAGACACCGCATCGATATACAGATCCATCAACTGGCACGTTCTGGAGAGAAGCAGTTGAGGATCTCCCAGGGGCGTCTATTATTGCTGTCATACTGTACTCAGACGAAACTGAGCTTGCAAAGGACGGCGGAGCTTCGGGACATCCCGTATATGTCGCCCTCGGGAATACGTCTTCTAAAAACAGGTGGAAGCCCAATGGCAGGCGGATGGCGGCCATGTTGCCTCCGTTGCAAAAGCACCAAGTTCAACCAGGAGTGGACCCCACACGGCGCCGGCTTGAAATCATACACGAGTGTCTCTCAATAATACTGGCAGAACAGAAGGAGAAGGAGGGCACGGGTGCTTTTCTGAAGGATCCATACGGTATCTTGCGTTTCGTGCGAGCCCTTCTTTATGCCTATGTGGGGGACTACCCAGAGCAATGCAAGATCGCTGGGACAAAGGCGGGTCATCAAACCCAGTTCCCATGCCCGAGATGCCAAGTAACGAAGGAGAACATGTCAAACGTGGAAGCTGAACGATGCTATCGTACAGAGCAAGGACAGATCCTCACCAAATCTATTGTGGACATGCATCGAAGCTCGAACCGTGCGCTTGCATCCGCGGAGACGACAGAGAGTACGCACGCCATCAATGTAAGCACCAGTTTCCTTCCAAATTTGGAAGAACTATTCATGTCCCAAATTGTTCTTTGACTTCGATTGCTATGTCATGGTTTTTTTCATTCTCACTAATCCTCTCTCATACACATACACTTGGTCTTAATTGCAGGTGGCAATATGGGGGTTCCCGAATGGGAATACGTCGTGGGGAAATCCTTATCGCGCATTCATGGGAGACATCATGCATCTATCACTCCTTGGAGTGTTCAAGCATATCATCGATTGCCTGCGCTCGATGCTACCTAGACTCCTCGATCGGCTGGATGATGCGATGCGCGGGATCACGGACTATAGTCGCCAATCCATGTTCCGCCTTCCCTCATATGCGAAGCGATACTTCGCGAACAAAGGGACATTCCAAGCCTTTGAACATGCTGCGGTTATGCAAGTGTTGCCAGTGATTCTGGAGCTGCTTGATGTCAAGACGGACATTACACAAACAGTCACGCTTTACGTCTACTGGCACTGCGAGGTGTGGCTACGGCCATATCATACAGAAGAGAGCCTTGCACACCTCGACCAACTTACAAAAACGTGAGTAGATCATGTATCCTTTGACATATAACAGTTATGAACCACATTGTAGCTTTTTTAACAATTGACCCCATAACACGTACACAAATTTACACTCTCACTCCCACTCTCTCTTCATCTCTCTCTCTCACTGTGTGTCTCTCTCTCTCTCTCTCTCTCTCTCTCTCTCTCTCTCTCTCTCTCTCTCTCTCTCTCTCTCTCTCTCTCTCTCTCTCGAACGGTCCGTCGTATTAGTAGCAGCAATGGACAGGCAAGGCTCGGCAACATCTCAGAGCACAACAAGGCAAGGCTACTATAGTCTAATCTAAAATCCACACCACACTATCCCCAAACCCCACCAAACTCCCCCACCCCACGGCCCTACTGGCCAGTAGGGTCTTCAATCAGCTGGTACAGCTGCTCCTCGCCTAGCGGCTCGAATGGGCCCTGCAGGCCAAGCTCGTCCGCGGCTATCGCCTCGTGGGTCTTGTCGCGCAAGGCGTTGGCCTGGGCCCTCTGTAGTGTCACGCTCCAGCGCTGCCGGTACTCCGTGAGGAGCTTGGCCACCTCCCTGGACTTCGGAGCTGCGTTGAACCGCCGCTTGCCTGCAAGCTCGGCGCAGCTGCGGAGAAAGGCGTGCACTCCAGGGGAGGGATAGCCATACGTCTCTACTGCCATGGCGTGGAAGCCCACCCAGTCATTCCGCCTCGCGTATTTGTACTCCTTCCTTGCGGCTTGCATCCGTGCAGCCCACCCTGGCGCCTTCCGCGCAAACTCATCCTGGTGGGAGACCGGGTCCGTCACGGTGATGTCGCACATGTGTACCTCGCCGGTGTCGGGATGGCGGATGCAAACATCCGCTTTCAGGTTTTCGACCGGTGAGTACACAGTAGATTCCTTGTGCACCGTGAAGCCCGCCTCAGCTGCAATATTCGCACACTCGTCGCGGAGAGCATGGTGAGTAGAGATCCTCCCTCCTCCCTTTTCGCACCTCATGAGGTGGTTGGGGAGCCTGTGGTCAGGGAAGGTAGTGCGGTAGCGGCAATCGCAGCGCCGCGGGACAGGCAGGGGGAGGCCTAGGCGGAAGGAGGCCGCGGTGGAATGCTGAGAGGGGCCCAGGCGGAGGGCTGGGATCAGGGGAAGGGCGAGCAGCCAATCTCCTGCCCCGGGGCCGAGGAGGGACTGGAGGCGCTGGGTGTGGCCGGAGAGCGGGTTCAGCGGCATCTCCCGAGAGTCATCCAGTAGCTCTATGTACCTGGCGGTGTGGACGGCCAGCGACAGAGCCTGCTGCAGCTTCGGGCCTTCTGGGTCATGCCGGCCGACCTGGAGTGCCTCTAGTCCGTCTGGGGGCAGCGCTGCTTCAGCCACTGCGAGGCGTCGTGGTAGGGCAGATCGTGAGTTCCCGTCTGCATCCATCAGCAGCAGCAAATCAGCGACAGCAGGGTGCAGCGCGTCACCGAACGAGCGCAGCAGATGGGCGGAGGAGATGACCGAGGCCAGGTACGCAAATGCCCCTTCCGTCGCTGGGTTGGTGATGCCGAGGCCGCCCAGCGTCACGGGCAGGGCTGCTTGCCGCCAGACTCTCCCCCGCTCTGCCTCTTCCCGTGGTACCGCAGTGTGAGCGGCCGTCAAGTAGGTGTGCAGCAGCTGTTCCCCCCATGCCGACCAGGACTCCTCCGGCAGCACATCCAAGGGCGTGGTTCTGACGAGGTAAGAGGCACGCCGGCTCACGCACCGAGTGAGGAGCAGCAGGCAAAGCTGCGGGTCCATTTGAGACAGAAGCGGAAGAGGTTCTGCGGCTGCTGAGAGGCGCTCCTGTACCATCTCAGCGCATCCATGTTGTGGGCCGATTGGGCTTCCCAAGACGCGGATTCCGCCCGCGGAGTAAGGTACGTGCCGAGGCAGAGTGGAAGCCTCCACGGGAGCAGCCGACCACGCTGCGCACTTCTCGGGGTTGTGTTCGAGGCCCAGGGAGTGTAGGGCGCTGGTGAGGTAAGTGAACGCCTCCGAGCACGCCGCTGCTTCTCCCAGGATGGTGATGTCGTCCGCGTATGCGAGGATGACGACCTCTGGGTGCGCCTCCGCCGCCGCAGCCAGGCACGGGTGGATGCTCGCAGCGAAGAGAAGGGGACCAAGCGAATCCCCTTGGCGAACGCCTCGCGCGGACTGCAGTGGGGGTGCTTGGAACGCATGGTCGAGGTGAAGCGACGAGGGACACCCGTAGGACAGTCGCACCAGGGGCACCAGGGATTCCAGGGCGTTCCCCTGAAGGCCCTCAAACACCGCCGCCCGCTCCACCGCATTGAAAGCATTCGCCAGGTCAATTTGCAGCGCCACCGCCCCTTCGTTCTCTTCCAGGTATGTTCTCGCGGTGTGTACCGCTGCTTCGATGCCTCCGGCGATGGCCACGCCGAATTGCAGCGGCGCGAAGTGGTCCCGCGCCTTCTCCGCCGCCAGAAATAGAGCTGCCTTGGCGACGAGCCGTAAAAGGCATTCGCCTACCGCGATTGGCCTAGTACCCCCCTGCGGCTTTGAGAAGGCTAGAAGTCGAGAAGCTGTTAGGAGCTCGGCCGCCTCAGCATTCAGTTTCCCCGCCAGCGCTGTGTTTGTGAGGGCATGCAGGTGGCGGAATATGTCTGCGTTCCCTAAGGCTGCATCCCTTAGGTGTTCGAAAGTGGTGCCTGAGGGACCGGCGCCCACACCGTTTGGGCATTTGGCGAGGATGCACCTGAAGTGGCGAGGGGAGATGGATGGAGGGCTGTCTGTAGTGTAGTCACGCACCCAGTCTGGGATGGCTTGGCGCGCAGGGGGGTGCCTAGCTGATAGCGCTGCTAGCACATCACTTGATGGTGTTGAGACAGGCGTGGCGGTAAGTGATTGGAGGGATTTGGCCAAGTTCCCTCTTTTGGCTAATCCCTCAGCTCGAGCCAGGATGCCGGAGGTGTCTGGCGCGTGACGTGGCTGGGGTGGCTGTGAAACTGCGTCAGCTGCCTCGTCATACAGACCACGCCAAAGTCCCTGGCGAAACTGGACCAGCCTGGCTCCAACTTTCGGCCAATCAGGGCGCATGGCTGACGAGGTGCGTAACAGGATGCGCGGGAGGAACATGAGCAGTCTCCAGCCCGCAGGTGAGTCAGGGTCTCGTGCCAGATGTAACAACGGGGTGAGGAGGCAGGCCGCGAAAGACTCGCGAAGTGTGCGGGGAGGGTGGCGAGCGAGCGGGGGTTGCCTGCTGTCGCGGAGGGGGTTGAGGTCCCATGTTGCGACGTCGGCGAAAAGATCTTGGCGATTTGCCAGGTCGCCAGCGCTGAACAGGGGTTGGCGGGTGGATGCCTCTGCACCCTGCTGACTGGCCTGGGTGGGGGTGTTGTCTGCAATTTGTGCGGCTCGGTTTCCCCCCCCGACTCCATTCTGCCTCCCATTTCAAATTGCAGATGCGCCTCGGCTATGTGTTGGGTTTCGATCCAACTCCTCGTGCTGCTCTGCCTCGTCCACCTGAGGAGAGGGACTAGAACTCCCCTCTCTTTCAGGGTTAAATAATGGGTCACCCACGGAGTTTTCATCACTCGAGTTTTCTCCATCTCCAGCCCTCCCCCGCAGGATCCGGTGAGCGGCCCTCGCGAAGCTACTAGCCCCCCGTCGCTGAACTGTGACGCCTCCTCTGCGTCTGCCTCGTCTCCCACCTCCAGCCACGCGGCTTCCCCGCGGCGTCGTGCCTGCCGCTGCGCCGCGGCGTGCTGGCTGAGGCGCGGAGGTAGATCCACGGCCCCGCCTTTGGCGGCCTGCTGGCGTCCGTGGCTCCGTGCTCCGGCGTAATGGACCCAACCGCGGGTCGCGACCGCGCGCAGGAGAGTACTGCGGAGAGCGCACGTCTTGACCCGCCCCGAGCTCAGGGGCCCGCTGCTCCCCGTCCTCACGCTGCTGCGCGCCCCTCGGCGTCTGAGCCTGTCCCTCGCCTGGAGCGCGGGCTGTCTCTTCCTCTTCGACGCGCTCCTCAGCCCCACCAGCCGGAGTACTCGTGGGTCCCCGCTCAGATTGCATCGAACCGACCTGCTGATCAGCCGCGTCAGGAACGCGGGCGGTCGCCGCCGCGTCAGTAGCCGCGGCAGCAATCTCCTCGCCGCCGCTCCCCAGAGCGTCACGAGGATCAGCGGGACGGCGCTGGCGATCAGCTGTCCCCTGCAGGCCATCGCTCTCCTCGCTGCCCATCTCTTCGTGGCCGGGCAGGCCAGCGCTCACCCCGAGCGCGATCCCCCGAGCAACGCTCTCCGCGGCGATCTCCGGCGACGCGGGGGAGGGGGTCGTCTGGGCATCGCTGGGATTCGGGTCGCCGCGAGCAGACCCCCCCGCGTCCGCACTCGGCAGGTTCAGCGGGCCGGCGGGGCCGGCGCAATGGTGGAGGGCGTGGCGGTAATGGTCGCCAGCAGGATCCTGCCCTCGACCGCGCCGCGAACACGTTTGTGGAGGTGGTGAGGCAGGCCCGGGCGAGCGGGGGGCCGACTCACGTCCACATTGAGGTGACCAACGGTCCCCCCTTCGCCGCGGACCCCGGCCAGGTGACTCCCCTGCGCGCGCCGACGCTGAGCGAATATCTGCCCGCGCGGGTGGGGAGGCCTGAGTTCCGCACCCCTCGTCAGGTCCCCGGCTTCTCCGTGCCGCGCTTGTCTGTTGGCCGGACTCCTGGCTGGCCGACGGCGTTTCTGCGCGAAGTACCGACTGCACCTCCCCCCACTCGCGCGGGGAGAGACCCCATGCTGACCATGTGCCGGATTCTGAATCTGGCGGAGGCGTGCGAGGTGGTGGCGAACTTGCAGATGGCGGTGTGTGGGGCCACGCGGAACTTTCCGAGCAGTTTTGGTCCAGGATCCCGAGGATCCTGCGTGACTTTGGCAGAATCGCTCGAGTCGCCGTTGGCACCCGTGTCGGATGCGCCCGCCGGGGTAGCTCCCTTAGCCCGTACTTTCCCCCGCCACGTGGGGGATCTTGTTGGGGCTGCTCATGGCGGGACCCCCTTGGACACGCTCCAGTCGTCGGCGCATCTCCTCCTTGCGGTATCGGCGTGCATGCGCTTGATGCTTGAGGTGGAGGGGGCGGAGCCGTACACGATGTAGGCCTCCGCCGCGTGTAGAATTGCATGCCGCGCCTCTTGCTCTTGCCCAGCTCCTTGCCTTTGTGTGTGTGTGTGCCCTTTATAAGCCGAACCCACGTTTTGTGTCTTGCCACCAGGAACGCGCGGCCGAAGGCCGCCGGCGCGAGCCGCCGAAAATGAAACACCCACGAAATAATGAGGCAGGGAAGACACGGAGGGCCCCTTAAATAGGCTCAGAGGGGGAGGGCAGAGGGAGGAGGGAGAGGGCTGGATGCTAAGGCCTTCTCTCTCTCGCTCTCTCTCCCGCCGAAAATGAAACACCCACGAAATAATGAGGCAGGGAAGACACGGAGGGCCCCTTAAATAGGCTCAGAGGGGGAGGGCAGAGGGAGGAGGGAGAGGGCTGGATGCTAAGGCCTTCTCTCTCTCGCTCTCTCTCCCGCCGAAAATGAAACACCCACGAAATAATGAGGCAGGGAAGACACGGAGGGCCCCTTAAATAGGCTCAGAGGGGGAGGGCAGAGGGAGGAGGAGAGGGCTGGATGCTAAGGCCTTCTCTCTCTCTCTCTCTCTCTCTCTCTCTCTCTCTCTCTCTCTCTCTCTCTCTCTCTCTCTCTCTCTCTCTCTCTCTCTCTCTTGCGGATGTGGTACAGGCTTGTACCAAAGATGATTACAGTGTTTGGGAAGAAACAATCGTTGACGTTCAACATTCCGAAGGTCCATGCGATGCTGCACGTCGTTGACGACATCCGTCGCGGAGGACTCCCTGCTCATTATTGTGCGGATATGTACGAGCATCTCCACATCGCGCTAATGAAGCGGCCGTACCGTGCGAGCAACAAGAAACACGCGGAGGAGCAGATCGCGCGACGAACGCTTGTCGACGAGCTGGTCAACAGACTAGCGCAGCAGGAGGCAGACGCGGAAGATGCTGATGCAAGGAACGGAGCAATGAGACAGGTATTTGTGCTTACAATCAACCATTTTTAACGCAAATGTCACAAGCTCGCGTTCCGCTGTGTGTTTGGTTGCGTGTGTATGAGCCTTTACGGGTACGACTATGTCTACGCGTTAATGATCGTACATGTGCATGCACGATGTCGTTCGTGCGACCAGGCGTGCGTGCGTGCGTGAGTGCGCGCGCGCGCGCGGACGTGTGTATGTGTGTGTGTATGTGTATGTGCGTGCGCACCATTGTACGGCCTGTTACAAAGAGTTCCACATTTAAAATTCCCCCCTTATTTACTCTACGCCCATAACAGGCATTGGAGAGTGGTGTCCCTACTGCCACCGGGAAGAATGGCGTATTGGCATTGATTGCGGACAACACAGACTTGTGGCGAGCTTATAGCGATACCATTCCAGGCGACATGCACCGCTTGAAGGACGCCGTCGTGACATATCTCCAGCCGGGTGAGACATGCGAGGCTCGAATTGATGTTCATCGAGGTGTCGCAATCCCACCCGGTGAGAACTACGAGCTCTACAATCGACACGCACAATATGCCCACGCAACACCACGTTTTCACAACAAACCATGGTATTCGGATGTCGCTGTCGAGCTGAAAGACGCAAGGGGGCAGAAGGTGCTGCAATTTTGCAAGGTGCTACTGATGTTTACTCTTCACAAAGTCCCGGATGAAGGAAGGGACTCTACGAGCAATAATGCAAGGGAGAGCGAACACGTGGCATTTGTTCGATTGTATAAAGTACTCGGGCCAGTAGGTGAATCTGTATTGGACCGAATGACATGGCTGGGTGGGGACAATGAGTACAGAATTGTTCCCATCAAGTCATTCCTTCGGGTGGTGCATGTGAGAAACTTAGAACGAGAATGAATTGACTAAGGAATGAAAGTGATACAAATATGAAACCCTAGAATTGTGTACCCCTTTGTATCTAACCCGCTACAGCCTACACAGGCTAGATCATATAAGTTTGACACACCCCCATAGGCAAAGTGGGGGAGAACAAGGGGTCACAAGACCAGTCAAGCAAAGCAAGGCAAAGCAAGCTCAGGGTGGATCACAACGTCACCACACATTCTGAGCACAAGTTCAAGGCCACAAGGCCAGTTCACATGCATGAGTACACACATATATATAACGCTAAACAAGCAAGAGCAAGTATATATATATGTAACAGTACAAGCAAGGTCAAGAAGTGAGCAAGTGAGGCAAGGTAGGTACAAGACCTAACATAGTACAGAAGCGCTGATGGTCACAAGGCGCAAGTGCCTTGGTGAAGATATCAGCAGTGTTGGCCTCAGAGGCCACATAAGCAAGGCGCAGCTGACCGCGCTGCTGCAGCTCACGAGCAAGGAAGTAGCGAAGAGCGATGTGCTTCGTTCTGTGCTCCAGTCTGTGCTCCCGACACAAGGCCAGCATAGCCTTGTTGTCTACGTACAGAACTGGAGGAGAACGAGGCGGCTCTCCTAGGTCAGTCAGCAGGTAGGTGAGCCAGCGTAGCTCCTGTGCAGCCATGGCCCCTGCGTAGATCTCAGCCTCACAAGTAAAGCCGAGAACAGAAGACGAGCGGGTAGACCACCACGAAACAGAGCCGGAACCAAGGCTGAAGGTGTAACCCTGTGACGACCGCTGCGTAGCCTGGTCGTCAGCCCAAGAAGCGTCTGCGTGACCAGTGAGGACCACTGGACTCCGCCCTCCAAGCACAAGCCCCATGCCCGACGTACTGCACAAGTAGCGCAACACCCTCTTCGCTGCAGCCATGTGCTCTGGTCTGTGTCTCCCAGGAGCAACATAGCGTGCCAGAATGCTAAGAGGGTATGCAAGGTCAGGTCGAGTGCAGGTCATCAGGTACATGAGGCAGCCAACAAGCTCTGGGTACGGGCCACTCGACTCTACGGACTCATCCGAAGGCAGAGCTGAGAGCGGGTGGCGAGTAGACAGAGGAGTGGCCTGAGGCGAGGAGTACGTGAAGCCGAAGCGCTGAAGGACCTGCTGCACCATGTGTGACTGAGTCAGGGTAATGGTGCGCTGTGCTCTGTCCCGGGTGATCTGCAAGCCAAGGTAGCTGCGCAGTTCACCCAGGTCTGTGCACATGTGTCTCTTCTGCAGCTCGGACTTCACGTGGGCGAGTCCAGCAGTGTCAGCTGTGGCAAAGACCAAGTCGTCGACGTACACGAGGATGCAGAACGGCGGCAAAGAAGTGTCGGTGCGCAGAAACAGCGACGGGTCGGCAGTAGAAGGAGCAAACCCAAGAGCCGCAAGTGTAGTCCTCAGTGTGTCGTGCCACTCACGAGGTGCCTGGCGGAGACCGGCCGCCGGAGGCTCCACTGAGTACCAGGAGGAAAAGACCTTGTGAAGCCAGGTGGGCGGCGCAGCCAGATCTCCTCGTGCAGGCTGCCCTGCAAGAAAGCAGTGCTGAAGTCAAGAGAGTGAAGCTCGTAGTCACGGTGAGCGGCTATGTGCAGCAGTACCCAAAGAGTGGTCATCTTCGGGGTGGGAGAGAAGGTCTGAAAGTAGTCAACTCCCTGCCGCTGACTGAAGCCACGAGCCACGTAGCGCGCCTTGAAGACAGGCGGAGAACCCGGCGGCCGCTTCACCCTGAAAATCCACATGCCACTGACGATGTTCGCCCCAGGAGGGGGAACCTCGTCGACGTAGGTGCCTGTGGACTTCCAGGAAGCCATCTCTGCATCCATGGCTGCCTGCCACTGAGAGGAGTAGGGACCCTCTATCGCCTCCGCGTAAGAGCGCGGAGTCGGGATGTCTGGTGCATCCGGGTCTCCCTCAGGGGCAAGCAGCATGGACACGAGATGAGGTGAAGCAGCAGCAAAGCACTGGAACTCCTCCTGCCTGTCCTCAAGGACGTCCGTGCCAAGGGCACACTCACCCCCGACGGACGGAGGACAGACAGACTCAGACTCAGCGACAAGACTAGCAGCGTAGTCTAGGCGACAGCGAGCAGCGAAGTCGACAGGCTCAGAAACTAAGGCAGACGCTGCAGCGGACTCAAAGGAAGGGTCAGTGACGACAGTAGCAAGGAGACGCGTGACAGTAGGACTAGCAGCACGAAGGGAGTCCGACTCCGGGTCAGCAAGAACAGGAAGAGAGGACTTAGGAGGAGAAGGCAAAGGGGCACGCGGCGGAGCAGTGGAGGGACGCAGAGACATCCGGTGCATGCCGGGGACAGGGGGAGGACGCGGACGCGAACCACGACTACTAGTGCGAGCAGCACGGACAGGCGACGCAGGACGAGACGCAGGCTCACGACGCTCAGCAAGACCTCCAGTAGGACCAGTGTAGGGAGAAGGAGCAGGCAGAGGAGAGGTAGGCTGTAACTGTGACTCGGACTGGACAGGCGGTGGACACTCTAAGGGAGGAGCCGGACTAGCAGAGGGCGGAAGACCAAGAACCTGCTCAAGGAGCGGAACGAAGTACGGCCGCGGCCGCTCAGCACCACCAGCACCCGAAGGGACTGCACCAGCACCCCGAACGACAGCACCTGCGCCAGCAGCACCCCCAGCTCCAGCAGCGCCAACTCCAGTACCCTCAGAGGCACCAGCACCAGAGGCACCCTCAGCGCCAACACCCCCAGCAGCTCCAGCTCCAGCCGGACCACCAGAAGACGCAGCGGGTCCAGCTCCAGCACCCTCAGTAGCACCGACGCCCGCAGCACCACCAGCTCCAGTACTAGAAGCACCCGCAGACCCAGCAGCTCCAGTACACCCAGTACGAGCACCTCCGGGACCCGCGGCACCAGCACCCTCAGCAGCAGCAGAACCTCCAGCACCCGCAGCACCTCCAGCTCCAGCAGCTCGCCTCCAGCGCCGGACAAACCACTCACGCAGCTCCTGTGGAGAGAGTAGCTCCCGCCGGGACGAAGCACCCAGGCTTAGCACCGCCAGACGCCACACGAGCAGGTCCAGTACCCTCAGACTCCGCACCCCCAGACGCAGCACCCCCAGGCTAAGCACCCCCAGACGCA